TTTTTTTTTTTTAATGGTAGCCGTAACAAAAAACCAAAAGGTGACCCATGCCCTTTGGAGTATTACTTGCAGATGGGCTAGGACTCCTCTGGGACCTCAGTTACCACTTACAGAGCATGTCAGGTAGGAGAACTGTTTTTGAAGTCGGACAGACCAAAGCTCTGCATGAATTAGGTCCATCATGTAACCTGTGTGAGGTTTGGATACCATCTGTAAAACAGGAACACCGATTGTTCTCACAGGACAGTTGTAGGTGAACGGCGTTCCGTTGTAGATATCTAGCTCTGCGCCTGGCTCAGAGGAAGGGCTCAGTAAGTGAAGGCTGTCAGAGATCATACCCGCAAGCCCACACCACGCAGAACAGGACTCGGAGTTGAAAGTTTGTAGTGGGGGGAGACCCGGAGCAGCCCCCCTTAGAAAAAGCAATCCAGGAGTCCCTGCTGTAGGTGGAGGAAGAGCCTAGTCTACCCGTGCCAATGGAGTGTGCACCGAGGGAGCCGGGTCACTGGCTGCCAGAAAACTTCGTTTACATGTGAGTCCAGAGCCCCCAATCCTCACGCTTGTCCGGGGGCAGAGCACCCACCATTCGGAATGCTCTTTGCAGAACCCCGTGAAAGGTTTCAACATATGATTCTGTCCCACAAACTGAAGATGCTTTTCCAGTGGAAAATACGGGCCTAAGGCACGCGTAGGCTTCAACAGCTCAAGAAGTAACAGTATAGAAAATATTACCGAGGAATTACGTCAACGCCTTTCCGTCAGAAAACGTGATCGTAACAAGGACACGTGCAATTTGCTGTCCCTTGCCTCTTCGTTGTACGCAGAAGCAGGCTCCCCAGGGTTAAGAAAAGTTGTGGCGGAAGATCCCCAACGTAAGAATGTTGTTGCAGCAGAATTTCTTCCTTTGACGTGGGAAAAGATGCCCATTGTTGGGATAACCATTGGTTTTGATACAGGCAGGCTGAGTCCGAGGACCCAGGGAAGGTCCCCAAGGACCAGCCGAAGGGGTCCTTGACTTCGCGCAGGATAGAAATCAAATGCAAGCCAGAGAAAGTGAAAAGACTTTATTGAATAGTGTCAATGACAGGTAGAGAATAGTGGACGGATTGTCTGGGAGACTTGGAAAGGAAAGGAGAATGAGTCTCATCCCTGCTTGGGGTTAGGGGCTTATATTGGAAAGGGGTCTAAGGTACGTGTTTCTTCAGGAGTCCAGGGTGGTGTCCGATCAGAGGTGTCAGAACAGGTTCCATAAATTCCCGAAAGTAGGGATATTGATGCCAGGGTCAGCCTGGAACGTGTTTGGGATCCGGCTCCTCTTAGACATTATCGGGTGTCTGGGGGCCAAGGACAAAACTCAGACAAGAATTAACTTTCTTACTTCCCCCTAAAAGTGGGAACACAGCTTCTTTGGCTCATGCAGAAATGAGACCTAGCAGAAAAACAGCAGAGACGGAGCCTTTCTAAAACGGAGGCCCTTCAGCCTCCCTACCTCAGTTTAGGCCAAGTTCAATGCTGGGTTTTTTTTGTTTTTTTTTTTATTTTTTTTTTTCAACGTTTATTTATTTTTGGGACAGAGAGAGACAGAGCATGAACGGGGGAGGGGCAGAGAGAGAGGGAGACACAGAATCGGAAACAGGCTCCAGGCTCTGAGCCATCAGCCCAGAGCCCGACGCGGGGCTCGAACTCACGGACCGCGAGATCGTGACCTGGCTGAAGTCGGACGCTTAACCGACTGCGCCACCCAGGCGCCCCAATGCTGGTTTTTTAATACGAGTCCTTCTGCATCTATCCTGCATCAGCAGAGAAGTATCTGACAGCATCTTAATTCGCACGGATACATTTCTATTGCTCCTTTGTCTACCTTGAGTGCCCATACCTGCTTCTTCATCAAGTAAATGTCTGCTCATGTTTCAAAAGTCAGCTGGTTTATCATCCAATTCATCATTCCAAAAGTGTGCCACACGCTTACCTGACACACTCCGCCGAAAACCTTCTGTAAGAACACCAGGAGGAGTAGCCGGTATTTACTGGGCACTTCCTTTATTTTTTACGTACCAGACACTATGCTAAGCACTTGACCTGTATAGTAACTCCATCAATCCTCACCACAACCCCACTTCCTATTATCACCCTGTTGAGATGGGTCCCCTGGCCTGGAGAGCTTAAGTAATCTGCCCAAAGTCACACAGCAAGTGGGAGCGCCCCAACCTGAATTCAGCTTGCCCTCAAAGCTCAGCTTTCTTTCAGATTTCTTCACCTGTCCTCCTAATTTGAGTGTGTGTTCCTTGAGTTTAGGAACCACATCTTCTCTAGTTCTCCAAGGGCTGATATGACCCCTACAGCACACAGCAGGGGCTCATGACCGAGTTGTTGGTATGGAGTCAGCTCTCCACTTTAGTCAGCTGCTCTTAAATGAGTACATTTGTAAATATTTGTCTCTCTTTACGTATGAAAATAGGAGTGAAAAGATCATGTGGACTCTTGAGGTTTTTTTTCATATGTGCCGTTGTGATTTCCCCCACAGGGAGGTGAAGAATATCGATCAAAGAGCATTGGATCAAAAGAAGGCAAATCGCATGTTCATCCAACCTTCAACCTTCATTGAAGAGTCCCCCGACAAGAAATTTAGAGGAAGCCATGAGAGGGAGATGGCGTTTATTTCAAGGTTTGTCCTGTTTTTCTTTCTTTTTTTCCTTTTTTTTTTTTTTGATGTTTATTTATTTTTGAGAGAGAGAGAGAGAAAGAGAGAGAGGCAGAGAGAGAGGGAGACACAGAATCCGAAGCAAGCTCCTGGTTCCGAGCCATCAGCACAGAGCCTAATGTGGGGCTTGGACTCACGAACGGTAAGATCATGACCTGAGCCAAAGTCAGATGCTTAACAGACTGACTGAGCCACCCAGCTGCCTCTTTCTTTCTTTCTTTCTTTCTTTCTTTCTTTCTTTCTTTCTTTCTTTCTTTCTTTCCTTCCTTCCTTCCTTCCTTCCTTCCTTCCTTTCTTCCTTCCTTCCTTTTTTCTTTCTTTCTTTCTTTCTTTCTTTCTTTCTTTCTTTCTTTTTCTTTTTCTTTTTTGTTTTGTTCTAATGTTTATTTATTTTTGAGACACAGAGAGAGAGCTCGTGTGTGCAAGCGGGGGAGGGGCAGAGAGAGGGAGTCAGAGGATCAGAACCGGGCTCTGCGCTGACAGCAGAGAGCCCGATCTGGGGTCTGACCTGAGAACCATGAGATCATGACCTGAGCCGAAGTAGGACCGTGTGACCGACTAAGCCACCCAGGCACCCCTCGAGGTTTGTTCTAACAAAGACCGTGGAAAAGTGGAAATGTGACCACTGTCAGAATTCTTAATGATGTGGAAATGTTGGAAATTTCAGAGCCGACGGCCAAGAAAGAATTTTTGAGACATCTTTGGTGCAAAAAGGTGGTTTTACTAAAGCAGGGGGACAGGACCAGCAGGCGGAAAGAGCCGCACTGGGGTCCTCAGGGGTGACTGATCATATGCTTGGAAGTGAGGTAAAGACAAGGGGACTTTTCCAAAAGGTTTTTCATGCTAAGGAAGACTCACCTCCAAGAAGCTTAGCTATTGTCAAGCTAAAGTTGTTTTTCCTGCTGGCAAAGCATGGACATTAAGACTGTTGGAAGTTCCTGGAGGAACGTCACACTCTGCCTGTCTCAAGGACCTGCCAATGGGCTGCGGGTTATAAGGAAATTTAATTTTATCTACATTTCTTCCTGCCTTTGTTCCCCACGTCACTAATACATGGAAAAGAGCACATGAAGGTTTACTCACTTTTATGTGTTATTCACCCAACTCTCATTTTCACTATAATTCATGGTAGTAGGCGGTGAGGTTTGGGAGTGAGGGGGGGGGTATGTTTGTGGGGTTTAGAGCTGACAGCCAAGAAGGAACTCTTGAAGACATCTTTGGTGCAAAAATGTGGTTTTAGTAAAGCACAGGGACAGGACCTGGGGGCAGAATAGCTGCGCAAGTGTGGGGTTGACTATTTTATGGAGTGGGGGGAGAGAGAGTCCAGAGGTAGTTTCCAAAGAGACTTTCATATGCTAAAGACTCACAGATTCCTGGAAGCCTAGCTATCCTCAAGCTAAGGTTGTTTTCCCTTCTGGCAAAACATTAACATTAAGACAGTAGGGGGGTCCTGGAGGAATGCTATTATACTCTGTATTTGCCTCAAGTATTTGTCAATGGGCTGCAGGTTATAAAGAAATTCAGTGTTACCTGCCATTTCCTTCTTGCCTTTGGTCCCCAGATCCCTATGGAGGGGTGATGTTGGGGCTCCAGGAAACTGAGTCTCTAGGTTTCTAGAGATGAGGCTATTGATAAGATTGCCTTTTTCTTCTAATTTAGTAAGATATTTGTCAACTGATAGATATTCTATCGTTTGTTTTCTGTCCTTTCCTTTGTCCTTTCCTGTGTTCGGATAGCTGGGAGTGTCCAAGGAATATCATACATATCCCACCTGGGAGGAGGGGTTTCTGCTAGCTTGTGCTTGGCCCTCCGCTTGCCTTAGGCTCCCTCACCAGTAATAAGAGTTACCAATGATTTTGTACCTCCTCTGTGCCAAGCATTTGTACTTTATGAACTGTACGTCAGTTCAAACTAGCTCGAGCGGGGGAAAGTCCAGTGGCTTCAATAACTGGGAAGGCCACAGACAGGCCGGCTGCAGGCATGTTGGACCTAAGGGCTCAATGACATTTTAGGTTCTCTCTCTCTCTTTTTCCCTCCCACCCCCTTTCCCTCTGTGTGCTGGCTTGTTTTCCAAGCTGCCTTTGCCTACAAAAAAAGAGGGCCACGGACAGCCGCAAGTCTATGCTCTTACTGTCTATGACCTTAGAGGAAGAGGGACTTTCTTTCCTAGCCTCTATAAACCAAGCTTCATAAAAGTCTGATGGCTCTGCTTGGGTTAATGGCCCTACCGATCTGTGTATAACACAGTATTTAAGTATTCTTGAACACTGTGTTCAAGAAACAGTGCTATTTGATTAGCCAGACCTGAGTGTCCCTGTGGCCTGAGAGACCAGGGCACAGTCCGTGACATAAGTGGAATGGGTGAGATGCCATCAGACAAAGACAACATGCCTACTTTATATCTCATCAAACCCTATTAGATATCATCACTGATGGGGTTTTGGGATGATGGTGGGGTTCGGAGCTGATGGCCAAGAAAGAATTCTTAAAGACGTCTTTGGTGCAAAAAGGTGATTTTGTTAAAGCATGGGGACAGGACCCTTGGGCAGAAAGAGCTGCACTGGGGTCGTACCCGAGTAACTAACTGTATACCTTCAGGTTGGGAGGGCGTTATGGATAGAGTAAGTCTCTAAGATATTTTGGAAGCAAGGTTTCCAGGACCTTGAGGGGCTAGCTGTGTTAGGCAAACGCCATTCGTTACCGTTTAGTAAAACCTCGGTCATGAGACCCTTCAGATGTATATCAGGGGGTCATACGCTTGGAGTAGGATTGCCAGCATATATCTTGGGGGAGTTGAGATAAGGGAAGTTTCAAAAGGAATTTTTATATGTTAAGGTAGACTTACGGGATCCTGGAGGTTGGGATAATGTTAAGCCAGGATTCCCTTTGGCCCCCAGCAAAGTGTCATCATCGAGGCAGCTGAGCTCCTAGAGGGAGGTCACTCTGCCCGTTTCAAGGACGTGTCAGTGGGCTGTAGGCAGTAGGGAGTTTAATTCTTTTTGCCTTTGTTTCTCACATCACCATGGCAAGTACTTAAACCCCCTTACATCTATTTTTTTTTAATCTTTTAATTATTTTTGAGAAAGAGACAGAACATGAGCGGTGGAGGAACAGAGAGAGAAGAAGAGACAGAATCTGCAGCAAGCTGCAGGCTCTGAGCTGTCAGCACAGAGCCCGAAGTGGGGCTCGAACCCCCAAACCGCGAGATCATGACCTGAGCCGAAGTCAGAACTTCACCGACGGAGCCACCCAGGCATGCCCCAAACCCCCTTACATCTCGATGAGGGTGATATTAGGGCTCCAGGAAACGGAGTCTATAGGTTTCTGGAGATTAGGCTTGGATAAGATTGCCTTTTTCTTGCAGTTGACTGTTATTGGTAGACTGAAGGAGACTCCTGTCCTGCATGACTGTGACCTCTATCAGTCAGCCATCTTGCTTCTTTCCTTTTCCCCTGTTCTTGGGCAACCAGAAGTGTCCGAGGAATATCACACATTCCCACCTGGCAGGGGTGGGGGGTTGCTGTTAGTCTGTACTTTGCCCTCGGCTCCCCCCCTCCACCCCCCCATCAATCACTTCCATTTTGCTGAATGGAAAACTGAGGCACTGACAAGCCAAGTAAACACTGACTGAAGGCCTAGTGTGCCAGGTCCTAAAGATACAAAGAAACAAATACAGGCAAACCTTGTTTTGTTGCTCTGTGCTTTGTGGCACTTTGCAGACGCTGTTTTTTTTTTTTTTTTTTTTTTTTTTTTTTT